ATAAAAAATATAAAATAAAAGTATCATAAATTTTTTATTTCAAACTTGTTATGTAAATATAATGAATTAAATAAATTGAAAAATATTAAATTTTTATTTTAAAAACTAAATAATAACTAATGTATCACTACTTATTAGAGAACTCAAAAACGTTTTTATCAATTTTATAAATATGTTAGACTAAATTTATGTTGAAAAACGATATATGATGATTGGAGTTTATAAAATACAATTATATAAATCTTATAAAGTTCTAAAAATAAAATAAAAATTGGAAATATGAAAATTTATTATTTACATTAAAATTAAAAGATTCTTCAAGTTACTGTTTCACTTTTAAATGATAATAGCAGTTTTTCATAAAAATTCAAAAGCACTGTACCTTATTGCAAAAATTTCACAACTCAAAACTTGAATACAGTGCAGAAAAAAGAAAAATGTACATAAAATTTACAACTAAAATACACTTTAGTAAGAGTTTTAATCTGAAAAAGAAACTAGATTAAACAACCCAAGAACCAAAACACGAAACCTTTACACAAATATCTAACAAATATGTATGTGGCATTGGTAATGAGTAAGTTTTGATAAAATACAAAACTAAGTAAAAGCAGAACCAAGAAAAACACGTGTTGAGCAAACGTATATCCCGTTATTATGCGTTGCCGACCGCTGAATCAGCTACGCACATTCAAGAAAGTGAAAATATCGATAACTCGCAAGCATATCATCACCACATGCAACAGTTTGGCGTTTTTTTTTTCTTATAATTCAGTTTAATGATACAATATTTGCACATATCGAACATGTATTGACCAAATATTTTATACACGTAATTTGAGTAATTCAGTATAAAATTAACGATAATTTTATCAATATTGTTTTAAATAACTTTATTGTAGTTTATATCTATATTTTTCGACTACTTAATAAATATAATAATTTTCGGATCCAATATTAAAATATATCATATTTTTATTATACAAATAGATCATTAAATGAAAAATAAACATTAATTAATTGTAAGGGGCAGTAATTGTAAAAGTATGTTTCATTGTTTCGTTGTAAAATAATAGAACAATTGTCGATAAAATATTTAGTATATTTTTATATTGTACATCAAGAGTAAAAATAAATATTTCATTCATATTTTATAAAACTTGTATTATATATTTTGTGCATGTTCACACTCTAAAATTACTAATTGGTAGAATCTTTAAAAACTCATTTAATTCCTTCAAATATTATGAATTACAAATATAATAAAAATTATTTATAAGCATATAATTATTAAATAAATTTGTTATATTTAATACAAGAATTTATTTAGAGTGTTAGAATAATTTATAATATATATATATATATATTATTGTGAAAGAAATTAAAATTCTATAATCAAAGTTATTTACTTATAAAGAAGCAAATGACAAATATAATTTTGTATTATAATAATTGCTTTAATACATCATTAAAAAATATTATTTACATAAGCTTAAATAATAATGTTTGTTTTAGATTTGAATTCAATGGTAGTGACTTTAAATTAGAGTACTTACGATACATAATAATTTATTTATTGAATTAAATGATATCAACGTAAAGAAATCTTGTATACTAATAAAAAAAATTTTAATAATTTTCTTACTCATTATTATAAATTTAATTCTTAATTCATACCCTAACACTTACAAATATTCATACAATATGAATTTAAAAATATTGTATAATATTTAGTCACAATACATTTTTAAAAGATTCAACACATCAAAATGGTTCTTAAAAAATTTTCATATATATTTGTATTTATTGTCTTTTTACTCACTATTTACTACTTATATATATATATATATATATATATATATATAAGTTATAGATAATAATTTTTTGTAATATTTTAATTACCTCTGAAATACTATATTAAACTATATTTAAAAATGCTCTACATTAAGACTATAGTAATTCAGTTTATTACACGACATTTATACTTGTTAGTATTTATTTGCATATTTAATTTTGGCACAAAAGAGATAAAAAAATTGTTTAATGAATAAAATGACAAGTATAAACTTTACTTCACTTTTAATTTTAATTTGTGTAAATGGAAATCCTTTATCTTTAATATATTTATATATATATCTATATATATATTTATATTTATTTAAATTTATATTTGCAATATAATTTATTTGTAATTTTCTGTCTTATCATAATTATTAATTTATGAATTAGTAAATTAAAAATACTTTATATAAAAGTACTATTTCTTACAAATAAATTATACTACAACAAAATTACATTTAGATAGTGTGTCTTTGTACTTTATGAATAAAATTAATCCTATAATAGATTATGAATTGATATCATTATTAGAATAAAATTACAAGTGAAGTTTGCAATAAAATTATTCGAATTTGAAAATCATAATTTATCTTTGTCATATTTTGCTTCAAGTATTTATTTAATAATATTTTTTAAATATAAGAAAAAGTTTGGAAATATAATAATTTGTAGAATCCTACAAAATTAAAATAAATCATTCGGGCCAAAATGTTTGTAAAAGCAAGCTTTTGTAATAAATTAATAAATAGATAGAATACAAGGGTTTTCTGCCTATCTAGTAAATTCATTGCTATCTAGTAATAATACAGTTGCCTTAATAAAAAAAACGTTTTAATTATTCTGAATGTATTGACTTCATAAATTATAATTTTTTTCAATCTGTTTTACAGTCAACAATCATATTATAGTGTTAAAACATAATTTTTAATTTTTTTGTTTTATACACTTGGGCATTATTGATGAACCAATAATATATTCTTAAAATAGTGTAAATACATTAAGTATGGCCTTTAGAATAAAATTAATATAAAAGTTTAAGCACATGTATATATTATTGAAAAAGCAAAATGTAATATTGTTTCATATTTATTTAAAGCGTCGTTAAATATAAACATATGTTTTTTAAAACAATTTTAATGAAAAATAACAAATAAAATTTCTTAATTGAGAGAACTAATTATAAGTAAAGATTAAATTACTCCTACTTATAAAATTATACATTTGTATTTGAGATTAATTGAATACTATGTAGAATTAAATGTAAGACTAAGAATATTGAAAAATATACTATAAATCATATATTGAAAGTTTTGACTGGGGAAGTAAAATTTTTATACTTATAAAATTAATATGATTTTTCAAATTAGTTAATAATGGATTTGTCATAATCTTTTTATAATTTTGGATTGGACTAGTATTTCGTATGCCAATAATTTTCAATAAATTATTTTAACATTATTTTTTCATAATTTGTTTTTTTTAATTACGCTAAAAACTCAATTCAATATAATTATACTCATTAATATTAATAATATAATTATGGATAACATTTTGCTAAATCTTACATTTTCGAAAATTTCTAAAGTTTAAACAATTAAAATAATTAAAAGTATATATAAAAAATATGTAAAAAGAATATAAAAAATACTTTATCATTTAATGTATTTTTGTAATCATTAAATTATTACTTTTTTAAATACATTCAATCCGAAAGAAACATTAAATTTTCATTATTTTTCCTGTAAGGTAAATTCTACTCAAGAAAATAAAAAATCAAATTTTGATTAATTTTGTATTGTCTCTATTTATATTTACCAACAAGTAAAATAATTATCAATTTTTAGACATATCAGTTTTAAGAATGTGAAAATTAACATTTTTGTTGTTCTTAAAATGTCATCTTTTACTATTTATATTAGAATTACAACTTATAATAAAAGATTTTTGTAAGAAAGAAAATTAAAACATAATATTTAAAGCTACGTTTAATACGTAATACATTCATAACACCTTACTAACTCATCGATTTAATATCGCTCTTCTATTAATATACTTAGAGTACAAAAACTTGCGTAAATAATTTTAAGTACATAAGTTTAAAAAATACTCAATTCAATATTTGAAATTTAATAAAATTAGTTATTTAATGCAAGGCAGACATTCTTGTGCCACAAAACATATCAAGTTCGTTTTACATTACGGCATGCTCTTCATAAAGAGAGAGTTAAGCAAGTAAGCCGACGAAGAAGAGATTCAAATGAATACAAGATCCCTAGACGACCTTGCCACTTAAGTGTCAGAGCGAAAAAGCTGCGCTCGACACTCGATATCCAACCGAACGAGGCGTCCGCGGTATTGAATTACGCGCCACCTTTAAACGAGCCGTGAAGCAGCGTTGTTTTGCCGACGTTTCTCCACGGCCCTACAACCTCGGTTTCGCGGAGTGGAGTTACTGAGTTGTACGCTATTAAACCATCTTGCTTACGCAATTTGTTCGATTTGTTGCTTTGTCTCGGAGCAGACGTACTTGATTTTCCTCTGTTTGGATAGAATGCGAGTATATAAGCTTTTCATAGAATTTCATTGACACAATGAATTGCATTTGCTTCTTTTTATTAAATCAAAATTATTATTTCGAATTAAGTAATCGTTTAAAATGTTCAAAATCATTCATTAATAATGTAACTATATATTGAAGTACTCGAATAAAGAAGGCTAACGATTTGTCTAATTGTACTTGATGCTTGCACATTTTTTAAAATTCATATTAAACTAAGTCATCATTTTTTATACTTAATGAGTAAGCAAAATTTTTGTTTATTGAAACTAATTCTTTTTAATATAGTTAAGAAATTCGATCTCAAGGCTTTCATAATTTTATTTTTCAATAATCGTGAATAAAATACAAAATAATACATGAAACATTAATATTTCGAGGGGTTGTAAGTAAGTACAAGAAAATCGAATAGTTTAAAGTAGCGAGAAGAGCCTATGAGATGATTTCATTATTTCATGGATTACGCATTAGTCTAACTTAGAAGGACGATTAACAGCAATCAGCATCTACTACATGTGTCGGAAATTTACGCGACTTTCGTTAACTCGACCTGTTATAACTTGTACGTGCAATACATTGATGATTATCTATGTAAATTTTGTAGGGTCGAGAACTGGTGAATTCAGGGAGGACGCTAATAGAGAATACTGTCGGCATCTCTCAATTGACGCTTGTTGGCATCACCGGGGACCAGGCCGGAAAGTATGCTGTTGCCGTCGAAAATATCCTCGGAAGTGATTGTCGTTTTGCCAGTGTTGCCGTTGAAGGTAAGTTTCGTATCCTTACTATCATTAATTGCTATCCTAACTTTGTTTAGGAGTACTTACTTTGTTGGGAGTATAGCTAAATAATGTCTATTTCTGACGGTAAACTCGAATTTTCAAAATTTGGATTTTTATATTTTAATATTGTACATAACGTTGGCGAATTCATTTGTTAGCGAACTCTGCTATTTATCGCTTTTTTAATATAACAAATAAGGTATGCACAAAATTTTATATCGTTTTATTTTTATCGTTTCGTACTGTATTATAATTCGATTTATAACTATATTTGATATATTGAATGCATTCTCATTAACCAAATTAAATTACAATATATTAAGTTCATACGGTATTTATGTTTTGCTCAATTAGTATATAATACTATATAAATGTAATATGGTTAGTTGTTTTTATTTATACAATTTATAATAATAGCACAGCAAATATAAAGTATGTATTCAATATATACACGCTCATTCACTCACTCATACACACACAGAAAAGTAGACAGATAGAGAAAGAGAGAGAGAGAGAGAGAGAGAGAGAGACAGAGACAGAGACAGAGACAGAGATATAGAGAGAGAATTAAAAAAAAGATAATTAACACTACATATCAAGTGCATCTCGTCATATCGTAGTTATAGTATGACCATATATATACGGGAAGTTCTTTTTGTTAGGAGATCGGCTTCAAAAGAATAGACGTACAAGTCTTCTGGGCTATTTTTATCTACATTTTTATTAACAGCAAAGTTTTATACAGTAACTATATTTACTCTTAATAGATAATAGATAAAAAAATGTAGTAAAATTATGTAATAGAGGCCGAGGTAAGTTTTTGTAGTCTACATTTCGATTATTACGATTAAATCAATCATTATAATTACTAATATTTCTACTTTTATTTTAATTTCCTTTATATATTTTAAATGCATATTTTTCATTGGTATAGAATATTAGATGAGTAAGTTGTAAAGTTTTACAATATATGTTATTTAAATAAATAATATCACAAATATCTAAAATTATTATACGTGAACCTACCTTAAATTGTGGTTTTAAAAGAGAAAAACAATAACCAATCATATTCATAACGTAAATATTAATATAAAATTGAAAACAAAATTTATTTAAATCAATTATAGCATTATAAAATTTAAGAATAATTATAACACGAATTAAGATTTTAAAAACTTGTTTACTTTTGGTAAACTAAAGATTCTAGTATTAGATTTCATAATTTTTATTAATTATAATACGATGAGTAATATATTGAAATATTTACAATTGAAACTGAATCTGAAATTACAATAAATACGTACATATAATCATTAATAGGCCTTGCTCTGTTCTTTTAAGGATCCTCTATAGAATTTAGAATAACTTAAACAAATTTTTATTTATATATATTTTATTTAATATATAAAAATTGAATAATTATCAAAAAATCAGTTAAATAAATAAAATTTATTTAAATAAATAAATACATAACGGAATTGAATAAAAATAACTAAAACAGTCAGTCATTTATAAAATGAATTATTCTTTAATTTTAAATATTACTTTAAAAAACTTTTTTGAAATATATAGCTTCGAACAAGATACGAGATAAATTGATCGTTTATAATATTTATAAATATAATTTGTAAAATATACTTTATATATTATATATGATATAAACAATAATATAATCGGAAATCAATAACTTTTGCATAAATGTTAATTTCTAGACTTCTGAACCCAATTTCAATGCAAATACTTATTTTTCCATCAAACTCGATGCTGTATTCATAATATAGGTTCATTCTTTTTTTAATAGTAACGAATGTTCTTCTACAATTTGTATTTAAAAACGAATCCATCATAGATACTTTTATTAGATAAAAAATAGAAAAATATTTGTAATATTATGAAAATAATTTTCAGGCATAATATATTAAAAATTTATTTCTTAAGCAACTTTATAAGTTTATAAGTCAATATTATATATACATCTAAAGTATCTCCTTTTTGTAATACTTATCAATATAATGAAAAAATATATTGACTTTTTATATATAAATAATAATAAAGTTTCGTTAAAAAATTTCAATATATATATATATATAATACAAAGTTAAAAGCAATTTATAAGAAAATTAATTGGCAATTTATTCAAGTAGTTAACCAAATAAATACTGTACAATTGAATATTAATCATTTACTTATATGAATATAAAAATTGAATTATTTAAATTTATAATATCATTAAGAGTATAATTCAATTTGATTTTCCAAAAAATTATGGATTTGTACTTTAAATTTGAAAGCGAAATTAAATTAATTTTCCTTGTAATTCAAAATTTAATTTAGTCGACATTCATTATCTATCTGTATGAAATTTAGATCTGAAAAATGAACTATTTTATAAGTGTATAGTCTTTATTATTTTTAGAATTATTGAAAATTTTTCTGTGTTTATTTTTTTATAAAAAATATCGCATATATATTTTATATACATATTTTATATTATATATTTATATTTATATTTATATTATATTATATTATATATACATATTTTATATTTTATAATAAATAATAATATAAAAAATACAACAAATTTTGATAATTGTAAAGAATTTCTACATTTATTTATAATGAAGAAAGAAATAGATTATTATTTCCTTTTTCACAAATAATATATATTTTATAAATTAAATAAAAGTAATTATGAAACAAGATTGTATTGATTAACGTTATTTTGAGATTGAATTGAAATATATTTATTAATTATTTTAGTTATTAATTATGTAGATATGAATGTACAAAAGAAATATTAAGAAATAATCATAATTACTATTTCTATTAAGCATACATAATAATATACTTTTATATGGAAGTTTAATAATTAATAATTTTAGTGTAATTACATTAATTAAAAAATAAAATTAATTATATTATTATTACAAAAAAAATTTTTATACGTTTTCTTAAAGTAGATTTTTAACATTAGTTATACCTGCGGTATTTAATATATTATTATTACCCTTAACACCGATGTTTTAGTATTTAATATATATATTTTAATTCTTTGTATTGTAACATTTTATATTTATAGATACCTATATTTAAGGCCGATAAATTTACTTACATTTTTTATAATACATAATTAAGAAATTGAAATTTAAAATTAATAATATTAAGTTATCTAATAATTTGCCTTTTGATGAGTAGATATAAAAGAATTTTTATGCAAATCTATGTACAGCCAATATTAATATTCTGTTATGAAAATATCTGTTATCAAAGTAATATATCATATTACAATATATATTAACGTAGACTGAATTTTATAACAATTAATAAAAAAATTAATTTGATTGTATAGTTAAAATTCATCCTAAAATAAATTTTTGAATACGTACAGTACATTTTATTTTTATATTTTATTTGTCAAAATAAATTAAATACATTTTAAACGAAAATAATTACTTCTGAAGAGAGTAGTTTCCACATTAAACACATTTTTAATTATTTTGAAATTATATTTACAAGTATTTACAAGTGTTTTTAACCATTTAGTGTCCGATCCTTAATTTTCTTTTACAAATAGAAGCATGTGTAATATGAATTTTTGAATTTGAACAAAACTCGCTCAGACAAGCTATTAAATTTTGGAAAAATTTTACAAGCGCGCACAAGTCTATTGTTATGTTTGCAATGTATCCATAGATCCTTATTTGAACTAATTATGTTACCAGTAAAATTTAACCTCAAAAATATGAAATTAAGCTTATCGCTGATATATGTAGATATTAGTAGAATTAATAGTAGAAAATAGTAGAGAAACGCTAAACAAGAGTTTAATCTTGCTTCGGCGTCGTCAATCCTTTAAAATAAGGAGAACGAAGTAAACAAATATCTTAAATTATCTAGGTCCACCGGAACCGCCTTGTGATCCGCCGAGTGTAACTTCGCTGCAGCGCCGCGACTCGAGCGACTACGGCGTCAGTGTCACTTGGTGCTCGCCGGCTTACGACGGAGGCTGTGCTCTCAGCGGCTATACTCTCGAACGCCGACGTATCGGAGAACTCAGCTGGCGCACCGTTGCCGAAAACTGCCATCGCCTGAGGCACGAAGCTAGGGGGTTACGCGCAGGTGCCACCTACGTATTTCGCGTGCGTGCCCTTAACGTTCACGGGCCCGGGGATCCCAGCCCCGAGTCCCGGCCCTTCAAAATACCTTTTCTCAACATGGATCACGCCGAGGATAAGCTCAAGGTCGAGGAGGACGAGGCTAGCTTGGAAGATGGTAAACGTGATTTGCGTAGCTTCTGGAAATATCACATTTATTTAATTTATATATTTTTAATTCATTTAATTTATTTAATTCATATTTAATTAATATCCTTTATTTAATTGAATTTTATTGGAAATTTAGACTTTATTCTTACATATTCGAGCTTTTTAAAATTCAAATTAGGATTTTTTTTCTCTTTTTTTAACGAAACTTTTACATTTCAAATGTACTATTGAAACTATTTTGACGAATTAATAAATTGTTAACACCTTAAATAAAACATAATTGTATATTAGCATTTAAAACATTCCTAAAAGCAATTTATATATTCATTTTGCGTTAATAATATCTTCTTGTCATTCAAAGTAAAAAATTATTTTTAATTATGAACAAATATTTTGTAAAATAGATAGAGAAAATGATGTATTTCTACTTTTCTTAATTCAATAAATTGCCTTTATATTGAAGATATAAAAATTAACGGTCTTTAAGTTAAATTAAAAATTGTTCAAAATTTTAATATTTTTAAGAGGCGAAAAATTAAAAAAAATCTTAATGTTTATACTTTTTAAGTGATTAAACTATATTATTTCGTATATATCTTTAAAAACATATTTTTTTTAAATTATAAAAAACATAAATAAAATTGTAAATCTTAGTTGCATAATAATTTATAATAAAGTTGCTTAGCTACAAAGTCATTAAAATTAAAAAATTTTTAAGATATATAATTTTTTGTTTTTATTCATAGCTAAAATATACAAGCAATGTTAAATTTAATAAAACAATGCCATTTTGTTTATTATATCAAAAAATAAGCATTGTATAGTAACTTTTTATAACAAAATTGAATATTATTTGTATACTTGACTAGAAAATAAATAAATAAAAACTAATAGTAATTCTTAAAAACAAAATTGAAATTGTACTAATTCAGAAATTCTGCAAGTTATTTTAAAGATAATATTAGATCTATAACTAATTTGTATTTCACAAAAATTGAGATTAAACTTAAACCAATTCAAGTTTATTAAATAAATGTGATATTTATTTATATCCTTAAATAATAGTTTACAAATAATTATTTATATTTTCATGATTATGTTTATTTATTTGTAAATTAACTATTCTTTAATATAGTTCTAAATTATGAGATTTAAAACTTTTTATTATAATTGAAATAAAAAAAAATTGATAAAAAAATGACTATATTAATGCAATAAATAATAATAAGTTAAATAATAATAAATTAATTAACTATATTAATGAGCTGTTATCTTATTGTTATCTTATGTTATCTGTTATCTTATTAATACTTATTAAATTTATACTTATTACTAATACTTATTAATACTTATTAATCTATATTAAATACACGAAAAATATTACAAAATAATATTTATAGGAGATAAAGTAGTGACAGCAGAAGATGGTCATCTTTTCAAAGAACTTTACGAATTACACGAGGAACTTGGTAAAGGTCGTTACGGTCTCGTCAAAAGAGTCGTGGAGAAAAAATCTGCAAAATCTTTTGCTGCTAAATTTGTTCGAACTGTTAAAACATCCGATCGCCAGCAAGTGCGAGATGAAATGAAAATTATGAATTTACTGAGACACCCAAAACTGCTTCGATTAACCGCGGCTTTTGAAAGTCCAAAAGAAATTGTTATGGTCACAGAGTAGTAAGCAATATTATCTATGTATTTGAATAAAAATTATAATAATTATTATACATTCAAAATAATAATAGTATATAATTATAAGAATAATAATAATTAATATTAATTTTAATCTAATTATTATTATACAATTTAAACCATAATGATAGAAAACCCTGTATTTAATTATTTTAAAATAGGCAAATTTTACAAATATATTGTTACAGTTGAATTATTTAGAAGCTTGTAACAAATTTTATGTTAAATTATACAGTTTTCAAATTTAAACAAAAATTGATTTAACATTAAATCTATATTAAAATATGAGTTCGATATTGGATCATAAGCATTAAAATCATTAAAAAAAACTTTATAATAATACGTAACAAATAATGTTGCCGGATAAACTTATTTGTTATTATTCTATATTCTTGTTATGCACAAGATAAATATACAAATATTAAATTTTTACAGAATCCTTAAAATGACTAATTATTTGTTTAGCATATCCGGCGGAGAACTCTTTGAGAGAGTTGTGGCAGATGATTTTACGCTCACCGAAAAAGACAGCATACTTTTTATGAGGCAAATTTGCCAAGGTGTTAGATATATGCACGAAAACAATGTAGTTCATTTGGACTTAAAGGTATAGATATTTGCATTAATGCTATATCGTAATACATTTTATTTACATTGTCTTATTAATATCGTTTTATTTATGAACCTATTGAAGTAAAGTAAGTAAAATAATTACTGTACTGCTTTTATTTAAGCCGGAAAATATTATGTGTCATACACGAACATCACATAGGATAAAACTTATAGATTTTGGGTTGGCTCAAATACTTATCTCAAATAAACCAATAAGAGTATTATTTGGAACTCCAGAATTTATTCCTCCAGAAATTATTAATTACGAGCCTATTGGCACGGAATCTGACATGTGGAGTGTTGGAGTAATTTGTTATGTTTTGTAAGTACTTTTTAAATATATATCTATATATCTATATATGCGTAGTTTATACATTATATTTTAATTATAATATATCTCATATTAGAGATAAATGAAAATGTGTGATTCTTTGTTATCAAATTGCGTTATATTTTATTCAGATTTATTTTATACAATAGATTAACTGGATTATCACCGTTCATGGGTGATAACGATGCCGAAACTTTTGCCAATATTGTTCGAGCAGATTATGATTTTGAAGATGAAGCTTTCGATGCAATTTCTCCAGATGCTAAGGATTTTATTAGTAATTTACTGCAAAAGAAAAAAGAGTAAGTTCATACATTTCGGGTAGCATACGATTGAAATTAAAACATATTTTATTATTACAAATAAAACTATTTTATTAAATTTCATTAATAAATTTTTTGCTGAATTTTTCAATTAATAAAAATTAGAAATATAAATAAGATTAATAGTTAAAAATTTTATTTATCTATAATTTTTTTGATATTTTATATTATTATAGTTTTTAAAATAGTATAATAATAATTACTATAATATATTTTAAAATAATTTTTAAAAAATTTTTAATTATAAAAATTAATAGTCTTTAAGAGTATCGATCTTTTATTAATGCTCAATAAAGATAATTAGAAGTTATTTACACATTAGACAAAGCAGTAGTTTACAATGATTAATTACTTATTATTTTGTAGATTAAGAATGTCTGCAAAACAATGCCTGAGTCATTCGTGGTTAGCTCAACACACGGAGAATATGAGTAGAGTTGCACTACCCACGGACAAATTAAAAAAGTTTATTGTTAGAAGAAAATGGCAGGTATGCGTATTACTATATACATTGCATAATATTAAATTGTTTTCAATAATTTAGTTTTTTTTCTAAATTCCCTTAAACTTTCTTTGATTAAAATTGAGGATATTAATTACTACATTTATTATTAATTTTGTATATTTTTATATCTTTATACTTCACTTAATTTTTGAGTTTTTACACTTAATTTGAGTTTGCACTAACATTTTTATTATATTTAAAGATAAAATTATATTGGTAAAAAATTATATTACTATAAATGATAAAAATCTAAATACGTATATAAAGAAAAAATTTAATTTGTTTTAAATATAATTTTACAGCATTTAAAAATATAGAGTTATATATTTATATAGGAAGAAAGAAATAATTTATTTCCTACCATTTTCTATTGTTATTAATTTTTTATTTGACGTTTAAAATTTAAATATACTATTCCTCAGTTTTTGATAAGAAATGAATTTTCATTTTTATTAATTTTTTATCTATAAGCATTTTTAAGAATAATGTTATTTTTAGTATTGAATTTTAATATTCATGATTTTTTAAACAATTTTTTAAAAATAAGAAAAAAAAACTATGATTAAAAGAAATTTTTATTTCTGAAAATATATTATTCGATATTAAAAAATATTAAAAGAATTAAATTAGCAAATAAGAAGAGTGAGAAATAATTTTATTCCATGTGTTAAAGAATAATTTATATAATTCTAACCAATATAACTTTAGCCTTAATATAGTTATCAAAAATTGTAGCATGCGTTTGTTTTTTAACCTTATGGATGTGTGTGTGTGTGTGTGTGTGTGTGTGTGTGTGTGTGTGCGCTTGCTTTTCTTCATCTATAGAAAACAGGTAATGCGCTGCGGGCTCTTGGACGCATGGCGATGCTTTCAGCGAATCGACGCAGTCCCTCTCTTTCGCCTACTTCAACTCGATCACTCAGTGAAGTAACAAGATCAGAATCTATGGACTCTGAAGAGCATCACAATGATGAAAATAATGTAATCAAGGAAGATGATAAATCTCTTGAACGTTCAAATACAGATAGTGAAATAAGAAAAAGACAATATGAAGTTTCTTATGAAGAGAAAATCTTGGAGGATTTCAAGAAAATGCAAGATACAACAGAAAGAAAAAGTTCAGTATTCAATAAAGAACTTGTTGGTAATGAGTTAGATAAATATATCGACAAAGAAATGTTTGATCGTGAGAATGTTGATGATAATTTAAATTTATTACACGAGTCAAGAAAAAACCTTATGAGCCAGCCAGATGAAATAAAAGTTTGTAATGAAACGCATGAAATTTCTCCCGATTATTTAAGCTGTATAAAATTAATGAATAATAAAAATAATGAGCATAAAGAAGATAAGGAAGATTTAATAATCAAAGATATTGTGAATGCCAATAGAAATATGATGCTTGCTTTAGAGAAACCTTTGGAAATTCAATTAAATGAAACAGTTCATACGGAAGTGACTGACAACAAAAATAGAAATGATGATTTTATTAAAAATGATAAGTCTGATGAAGTATTAAACGTAGATTACAATGATTATATGCCACAAGACACGAATGTGAAAAATATAATGTGTTCTAGCTTTGAGAAAGTTTGTGATGTAAAAGACAATTATTCGAATAAATTAGCCAGTTCAAAAACTGTGAAAAGTACATTTTTACTTGATATTGGTAAATTTCATCCGGAAGAATTAATAAAAAACAGCTCAGACATCGAAGAATATAATAATAAAGAAATCACTGCGTCAACAAATTTAAAAGCAAATAAACCCATTATTTTTAATCGCGATCATACCAGACGTAGTTTTCACAAGTTTAATACTAATTTCGAAGGTTTGTTTTTTTTTTAATTTTAATTAAAGAAGTATAAATTGTATTACAAATGCATTAATATCATTAACAATCGCACGCTTTTTTTATAATTGCTATTTTTCGTATCTTTATTTCAATAAGCGAATTAATACAAGCAAATAAATTTTTCATAAAATTTTACTTTTTATTAATATAATTTATTAATATTAAATTTAAATCAAATAAGTAAGAAAAATTTGACGAATTTGAAATTATCATTTTATTGGCATTTAAAGTAAAAAAATTATATCTGTTTCTATAAGAATGAATATATTATCACTGAATTTTGTTTTATAATATATTTATTTGAAATTTGTTGATTTATGTTATTAATTTTTAAAATTAAATTAATTGGAATATATATTTAAAATTTTCTTACAAAACAATGAACTTAAGATAAAAATCTTTATAACAATAATTCATTTTAATTATAAGAACGTTGGTATATTTTTAATATTTCACTTGAAATTGATATAACTAAAGTTAATATTTTTAATCGCTGAAATTAATATTGCATTAAATACAATAAATTAAATAAATTTTATAAATCTTTAATAAGATCACTGTGTGAATAGAATTCACGGTCATAGTTGAATCGTGAACTCTCTCTCTCTCATTCTCTCTCTCTTTCAATCCACACATTAAAAAAATCTAACTCATTAATCGGACTAAATTTTGAAATAAATAATTATATATCTTATATTGCCGTTCTTGAAATAGCCAATTCGGATTTCAATACCAATGAGGACTCAAGGCTAGAGGGATCTTCGATTCAAGGTAGGCTGTTCATGTCAACGGGTAACGTCAGTCGGACAGCCAAGTTGTTCGAAAAGCTGGACAGTGAACAGGATGCCGATATCCACGGTAGCCACAGGCATGGTGTCGCGGCAGCAACAAAAGACACAACGATAAATTCCATAACACCGAGCTCAAAATCGCGCAGTGAACGAATACAACGGGCTTTCGCGTTTTGGAACAAATAGTTTTGAACCTTGGCGAGAAATGATGAAGAGAAATCATATAAAGATCTTCTTTTTGTCAATTATTCAATAAAATAGAAATCTGGCAAATGACAATAGAAAATGCTTTTGATTTTTTTTCCCGAGACAATGAATAATTTAATTAAATTACATGTAAGGCCACTTTTATTAATTTCATTCTTATATTATCGTTATCAATCATTATATCATGATATCGAATTTTCGGAAGTTTCGGATATAAATCGCCAAAAGGATACGTGGAATGTTTGATTCTAATTTTAATTGAACTCTGCTGCGAGTTTTCAGATATAAAGACATTGTATAAAATCGCCTATAGAATAGGCCAGCATATAAGATTTTATTAAATCACGATTATATAAATAGATGGGGGAATATAATTTTTAGTGCTTAAGTAAAAGAGCGATTTTTTCTCTAGTTTACTTTTTTAATAGTTTATCCATACGGCAAGTACTTTTTTCTATGATGATCGTTTTAATGAGTGTGCGAATTGCAATTTTTATCAGAAATTTTTTCAGTTAACGCTGTACGATAGTTGGCACGATTGCTTTTATCTTCAAAAAATTTTTCACTCGAATAATACGTAATCTGTACAATAGACTTTATTTAATTAAAATAAAGCAATTATCTATATATAGTCATGTTGTTTGTTTTACCTCGTATTCCTTTAGAAAATAATAGTACTTATAACAACGAACTTATCGAAACTGAAAGTAACATAAAATATTTCAATTAAAGTAAAAGTAGCCATTATATATAACAATTATAATGTACCAAATTTAATCTATTAGAACAAAACAAATTAGAAAAAAATATTTATAATCCCTTGATATTATATATTTTAAAAATTTATACAAAATATATAAAATTTATATTTATATTTATCATTATTAACTAATTATTACATACAATTATAAACTAATAATTTCGAGAAATAATTCACTACGCTAAATTTGATTAATTCGTTTAATCAATATCAAGATAACATTCGTTTATAGTTCAAACAGATAAAATAGAAATTTCACAATGACAAATATATTTCGTATGTAATAGAGTAAATAGTAAAATTGATATTTTTTAATTTTAATGATCTTAAAGCAACCAAAAGATTTAAAATTTAATTTTGAATTTTTATACAATTATAGAAAAACATAATATTCGATATAAACAGCTAAAAGAGCAAAGAAATTAATATATTTCGTATTTCAAAAATCTATCAATGAAAGCAATAGAACGAATAATATAGAACATTACAGATAACTACTAAGAATGAAAATATTTTAGAGCTGCTCTATACGTGTGCGATTTCATTAAAAGTGTCATTAATGATTATTAGTAGTTTTTCATGGAATCAAAGGAATGCATTTCGAAAGCAAAACTTAACTAGTTGCAAATGAGTATTTGCATAACCGTGCAAAGTAAATCTTCTTTGACGAATATGGACTTTAGCAGAGTAATCAGCCATTAACTTGGCAATTCATCTGCAGGTACGACGTTAATTAGCGACGCCCGAAGCGAATAGACTTATCAGAAGACATGTATTGCTAACAAATTCGCTCTTAGAATCAGGTGGTCTTACCTCGTTCGGTTGCATTTCCGCTTAATTTGTTAAAGTCTTTAACACTCTCAGTTACTTGCAAGATTTTAAATGTCTCACCAACACATCCTCTTACTCTTCCCTGTGCTATCATCGCATTCTCACTGGAAGCGAACTACGACTTTTCTTCTACCTTCGCTCATTTTCTTAGTTTGGTCAACGCCGGTCACTGACCTTCTTTTCCTCGATCCCTTATGGCAATGCAATACTTTTCGTCACTTGGGGCCTTTTTCTCCCTATTTCTTGTTTTGATGGAGGTCCAACTGAAAAATTAATGCCCTTATCTACTTTCAGACAAATTATATATTATTAGTAAAAACTTTATTTCTTAAGCATGTTTTTGCGTTCTCCAAGTGTGCCTAAATAAATGCATTATATCATACTATAACAGAACATATTATTCTTCAAGATTCTATGCATTTAAGATTAAATATTTTAAGTCTCAGCAATTTAGTTATTTAAATACTATTTTATTCAATACTGCAACCGTCAATGTATATTTAGTTCCATAACCATTTAAATGAAATATATCATTAAAGATAGTGAAAATTATTACTCAATATGCCGAATGTTCAAAAATATCTGGAAATCTAGAGATGTCAATTTTTACATTATTTTCATATTTTTAATTAGTAAATCTAAAAATATAGGCATTAAATATCAAATAATTCTAAACTTTTAAATTTAAACTTTTAAATTAAAAAAAGAAATTTGTCGTCAAATTAAGCTATCATTAATTAAGGCTTTTATTTATATCATAAATAATTTAAATTATTTAAACATAATACCATAGTTAAAATAAAAATTTGTTTATGTCAATTTTAATACTTCTTAAACAGATAGTCTTAAATATATATTTTAAAAATTCTTTAAACGGTTACTCATTATATTTTTTATAAAAAAATTATTATAAAATTTCAACATTTTTAATTAAAAATAAATTCAATTCATTTTACATTATATTGTATAATATATTAAAGTACCGATAATTCAGTTAGATTTTTTTGCATTGAATCTAATATATAGAATTTTAAATATAATTATTGTATAATTGATAAATGTAGAATTGCATTATTGTAAAATATATATTTGTAAATCAAATTGAAAATTCAAACATGTCAATACGTAGTTAACAAATTTAATTGAGAAAACTAACCCAAATATTTTAAAGAACAAATTCGATTTAAATAAATAAATGTATTTTGTTAGCGATTGGTATTACAATATTATATAGAACATGATTTCATGACAATATATATTTAGTAAATTATGAAATTATATAGTAGTATTTAATTGATTATATGATTATATGAATAAATGATTATAATGAATGTAAAATCATAAGTAAGTATTAAGTAATTTTATTCAAATACTTTTCTTAATTATATCAATTGTAAATATATTTGTTGGAATACCTACATGACCCTTGAGATACATTGTATATCTAAAACGTCCTTAAATATCTCCATTGTTTACATCATAATGTTATAAAATCAATAAAGTTGATTCATTATAATATCAATAATCAAGCTTAAATATGTCGACTAATTTGATGGATGTGTTATGACAGTCCATGATTATCTTAAAACTATTTTTAAGTGATGTATAAAGAATTTTATTGCTGTGTTTATAGAGCATTAGCTCTTTAAAAGTTATATTTAAAAATTTTGAAATATTTTTATGAAAAGTATATTATAATAAATTAAAATGAAACGCTGTTAATAATAGTATATATTTTTTATTTCTTCTTTTAAAATAAAATATATATGATTTTATTCTAATTTTGTAATTAATGCTGACTTATTATATTCAAGTAGCAATTTATTGTTGATTCTTTTTTAATAAAATTACTATAATTAATTAAATATAATTTATGATTACGATAATTGGACTTGCTTTTCAACTTTTAAAACTTATTTTTAAAAAATTTCCATAAATTGTACTTGTCATTCTAAATTTTTATTCTAAATTTGATAATAGGATCATCAAGGCAGTATAGTTCGATATTAATGAATTGTATTAATCTAAAACTATTAGTATTATTTTTTTTTTTTAAATATTAACATTTATTTCCAGTTTAGTACATATAATTTTATCACGCTTATTTAAACTTCTCAGTTTTATGTAAAAATGACATATTTATTAATAATAAGGCCCAATAAAAGTAGAATTTAATAAATTCAATTCATATAATTAGTTTACGTTTATTAAAAACAGCATTAGTTGAAAACCTATAATAATTGCATCACAGGCAATTATTAAATAGAATGAATATTATTTTCAACATTTTTCATAAAATAATATTAATATACTTAATTTTTGTCAGTTTTTGTAAAAATAAAATTTATATTACAAATAGTACAGAGATAATTTATGTTAATTTATAATTTATAATAAATATTTTTATAATATAAAAAATTTATAATATAAAAAAAATTTATAATAAAAAATAAATAATTTAAGTTAAAAACATCGTTCGATATTGTTATTATTAGCAAAAAATAAAAGATAGAATACAATATATTATAATAATAGATAAAAGTGTGTTAATATTAGTATAAATATATTTCGAAATATTTACTTATCAAATTTCTTTTATAAAATTTAATATTATAGATCTGGCATCAATTAGATATTACGTTAAATCAATATTTATAAGTTTATCTAATATATGGTAAGAGTACTTGAATATTCTAACTGAGAAAAAATATAAATATTATAAATATTTAACATAATATAATATTAATTCATGACGTTTGAATTATATTCAGATAAGCTTTGATATATATTATTGAATAAATAAATAACTATTGATACGAAAACCATAAATAACAGGTTACTACAAAATTAATTGTAGTATGAAAATTATATTCTTTATGTAATAAATTAGATTTAATGTTTGATTGAATTTTCAGATGTTAATATTTTTTATATATATTGGACAATTCAAAGTCATATTTTATAGATGAAATATTTTTTAAGTAAGTATCGAAGAGACTAAAGTATTTAATCAAAAGTTCGTAGAAATATAAAATATTTTAAATTGTGTAGATAATTGCATTGGTATTTGGAGGATAAAGGAAATTTCTAACAGAATGTCATACGACATTCATTGACACCAATGATGTAAAGAAAGAAAAGCCAAGTGAAAAGAGCTTTGACTGTCGACATAAAATGTAATATACGCATCGGTGTGCCTGTATAAGATTATAATGGAAAAAGATATCAAGCACCAAGGC